GTCGTAGTAGTAGTAGTAGTAGTAGCAGCAGCAGCAGCAGTAGTCGTCGTCGTAGTAGTAGAAGTAGAAGTAGAAGTAGTAGTAGTAGTAGTAGTAGCAGCAGCAGCAGCAGTCGTCGTCGTCGTCGTGGTGGTGGTGGTGGTGATGGTGGTGGTGGTAAGGGATCAGGAGCAGCAGTACCAGAAGTAGAAGAAGAAGTAGTAGTCGTAGCAGCAATAGAAGAGGTGGTGGTGGTGGTGGTGGCGGCGGCGGCGGCGGTGGTGGTGGTGGTGGTGTGGTTATGGTGGTGGTAGTGGCAGTAGTAGTAGCAGCATCAGCAGTAGCAGCAGTAGCGGCAGAAGCAGTAGTAGTAGAGATAGCAGCGGAAGAAGAGGAAGAAGTAGTAGCTGCAGAAGAAGTAGAAGTAGCCTGGCAGGACAATAGCACTGGGACTCAGACTAGGATTAGGACTAGACTAGCACTATAGGAATTGGAAGAGGACTTGGACTACGAGCAGGAGCAGCAGAAGCCTGAAGCAGCAGTAGTAATTAGTCGTAGAAGGGGGATGGTAGTCGTCGTTGTCGTCCTCGCAAGTACAGTACTACAAGAAGTACCGCAGTTTCAGCAGTAGTACTGTTGCTGCCGTTGCTGGTTTTTCAAAGAGTACCTACCACGCTGCAGCTGTAGTCGATATCAGTCACACCATGTAGCACTGCTCTCATCCAGGCTTGACTGCTATTTTGCGCCCTTCCAGCCTACGGAGCTGCGGCCGGCTGCTGCCTTCAAGGAGGAGGCCACGAGGGAGCCATGGGCATGGCTTGCGTATATGCTTTAAGTCTTTGGGCATGTGAGATCTCGGGCACAAGCCGTCTTCCTGACCTGCATGCTTGCTGCTCTCAAGACCGGCTGACCGCTTTAGGATTTGCAGCTTAGTGGCACGCCTTTTAGGTTTAGCGACGTGCGGCTGCAAAGCCGCTATGGTGCGAGGTCGCCGAGTTCGTGTCCCACATCACTCCTTTGTTCTTCTTCGCGATGGCTGCGCACTTAGGCAAAGTTGTCGCCGAAGGCTTGAATAACTGATGGACAGCCTTTTGCGGAAGGCTGGGCTTCACCGGAGCTTCACAGACTCCAAAGCAATTGCCGGAAGTACAACCCCTCCCCCAAAACGTCCCATGCTACGGACACCAAATCTTTCATCCTTGAACTTCTGAATTTCTGAGGTCTGTTCAGAGTCTGCAGTTTCTTGATCTAGGTTGCACCGCAGCATTTCTGGATATGATGATCACAGTGGTGCTTGCTGTTCTTTTGTGCTGGAGTTGTTCCTTTCGGTTGGCATGACTTTGGAAATTCCTCGTAGTGACGTGTGACGAGTTCGTCTCATTCTGCGAGCATCATGATGACGGCGGTCATGTTCCTTCTAGTCCTCCAAACTCGCCTAGGTCTGGTCTGTGGGGGCCACGTGCGAAGGTTCCACACGGCCGGCTTTCTCCAAGCTGATCTGGGCCATTTTGAATGAGGACACTCTCCTTAAGCCTGTCTGCGGCATCCCTCCGCTCAAGCGCAAAGCTAATCCCGAGATTTTCCTTTTTGATTCGGCCGATGGGTGGGTGCCCTCAACCACACATGGCGTTAGGGGGGACGTTGGACTTCACAAGTCAGACCAGGATCAAGAGAGGCCTCGAGTTAGATGGCAGCCGTTCCCGCGACAATGCAAGTGTTGGTGGAGTTCTTGTGCTGGCCATGATATTCCAAGCTGCCAGTTTTTGATGTGACACCACGCGAGGGCTTGAAGTCCGTGGAGCTGTCTGGCACAGAAGCACGTTTAGATCACGGATCTGCGCTAGCAGTGCTACTGTACTGTCCATGCTCTCAGGAGAAGCACGAGCGGCTCGAACTCGAGGTCCAGGCTGTGATACGGAGTCTTGAAAGTGAATGCTACTCGAGACCAGCCCCGAGTTGCAGAAGCACCGCCGCTGCCCGGGACAGTCCTTCCGTAGGCAATGCAAGAATCTAGTCGGCACGTATGTATTGCTCAGTCAGTGCCACATCCATGTCAAGGGTGCTCATGGCTGAGACCCTCAATACTTGCCGCGCGGGAGTTGAACCCCCCCCCACCCACATCGCAATTTGATTTGCAGGGCATGAACGTGGAACTGCCGCCCGTCCAGGATGGCATCAAGCCTCTTGGATGCAAACATAGAATTTCCGCGACAACTAGCAGCGTAGTTCTCTCATGTGGGCTGCAGCGGTTCATATCATTCGGGCTTTTCTGAAGAGAAGCATCGAGCAACACCTGAGAGCCAAGCCGCCAAGCGGGTGTTTCGGCAGCAGATTGGCTCCGGACAGGGACTGCAACAATGAAACAACAGAGCTTTCCGGCCTGCTGCACACGCACTTCCAGTTTCGATATTCTCAGAGGGCAATCGACAACATTCTCCCTAATTGGATCAACAGAGTATTGGCCCATGCTCAGTGCTTGTACTTTAAACAGATAGGTACACACGCACGAAGAAAACTAGTGAACATGGGGAGGTATGCATGCAATAGATTCACATTACTGTGTGAGTAGTTTGGCCGCCTATCATAGAAGCAGGTAAGCAAACAACTAAGCGTGCATGCATGCGGGCATGCATGCATGAGTGCATCGACGGATGGCTGGATGGATTTACGTACCTAGGTATGCACGCCAGACTGCCTGTCTGTCTATTGCATATGTATGTAACTGTATGTATGTGTATATATATATATATGCAAAATGTATGTTTGCTTCTATGTACATGCGTGTGTACACATCTACATATGTTGCATGCATGCATGTCATCGTGTATGTGGCGGTCTACAAGATAAGCATATATAGGTACTTACGATATATGTAAGCTACTCGCGAGACCACCGCACCTGAGGCTGGCTGGCCTGGATATCGGCGCATTCATCTACGATTACTTCTACGACATTCAGAAGAGCCAGTGGGTTCCCTGGCATCGGCCTTAGAGTGTCCATCTGCATGTCATAGATGCGTGACAGGAGCAGATCCTGCAGTACGAGATGATATGACACATGAGCGTATGTAGATAGGTATAGGCACCTAGGCATCATGCCATAAGTGTATGCACACATATACATATACACATACATATACAGATACATACACAGATATACATATACATATACATATACATATACATGTACATGTACATGTACATATACATATACACGTATGTATGTAAGTAAGTAAGTAAGTAAGTAAGTAAGTAAGTAAGTAAGTAAGTAAGTAAGTAAGTAAGTAATGTAAGGTATGTATGTATGTATGTATGTATGTATGTTTATGTATGTATGTATGTATGTATGTATGCATGTATGTATGTATGTATGTATGTATGTATGTGCGTGTCTGTCTGTCTGCCTGCCTGCCTGCCTGCCTGTTTGTCTGTCTGTCTGTGTGTTTGTGTCTGTCTGTCTGTCTGTCTGTATCTAGTATGTATGCATATTAATTGTGAGGGATCCTCCGTTTGAAGCGGGCTAGCCCTTCATAACTCGATGACTAGATGGCTTGTGCAGCTGGAGGTTGACTTCCGGTGTTTGAAGCAAGCAAACCGATTGAACTGCCCATGGATCACGCGTCTTTCTTGGATCGATGTTGGTTTAGCGGAGTGCCTGAGGATGCAAACGGGTTCTTGTGCAAAAGTGGCCTGTCACAGCAAGCGGAAGCCCGTCCCGCTGCTCCTACAAATCGATGAGTTCGGTTGAAAGCGCCAGGATGGAGACCATCCCTGCCTTCGAGATTCCCCGCTCTGCACAGTACGACGAGATCGTTCGCCCAGCGAGCTTGAAGAAAGTGCTAAGAAATGGAGTTTGCATGCTTAACTCTCCAGCAACAATCCGTTCCAACTCATGTGCATGTCTATGTGATATTATATATATATATATTTATGTGTATATATATATATATATGTGTGTGTGTGTGCTTTAGCCGAATAATGTGTATATACTTGTATTTATATGTAATTGTATTTGCGCCTATCTATGCATGTATAGAGATTTAGATGCAGACACACGTAGAGGTGTAGATACAGAATTAGCTATGCAGAGCGGGAAACCCTCTTGACCCCCTCCCTAGATGATCCTAGATGTAGATGTAGATATCGACAGATATCGATATAGATATGATGGGTATGGGTACACACAGACACATCTACAGGATAAATGTCTTCCGTGAATCAGTCCCAGACTGCACTTCTTGGCTCACTGCGCCAGTCTGAACTTGAAAACAGTTGCCAGCTGGTGGCAGGTGGTTCCGTCTGTGGACTCTGTCCGCTTGGTCTATGCCTTCCAGCCACGTGCTCAATTGCCAGCAGTTTGCAGCAGTATAACACCTGACAGCTTGCACTAGTACATTTCGGACGAAGTGGGCAGAAAGGGACTGCTTGAAGAGGTGTAGCACCATATGAAATACGACAATTGTGACAACTGTATACATAGGTGTGTACGTGACTGTATGTATCCGCTTCACGGGCGGGTAGTAGGATACGTGTTCTACACGTCTTACATCGAAGCACTTACAAAGTCACACAGGGAAAAGTCCTGATCCGGTTGCTTAGCACCGCATGGTATCGCCTGATACTTGGTCCCTAGCGGCGATTGCAAAAGTCATTTTGACACCGAAGACTCATGAACATTGATAAGCAAAATAATATTCACAGCAGCACTGTTCAGCATGGTGTCGCATCAACAGCAAGACTATAGGGTAAACAGTATACTGATGATAGTCCTGGCAGAAAGGCAGCAGGCAAGCCATCCAGGAAATAGGCAGCAACGAGAAGTAAGGATTCTGATCACCCACGACAAGCACGTCCTGTGCCCCGGCCCCACGGGAACTGGCAAGAGCCGGGCCCCAAGCAGATTGCACGAAACTGCGGCCGGGCACTATGGGTTGTGGGTTCAGGGATTACAGTTTAGGGTGCAGCCCACTCCGTCAAATCCGCTGAAGTTCCTCACAGTCGAATGTGCGCTTGGCAACGCTGCGGAGCCTGGCTGATCCGGCCACCAGGTGTGAACATCTCCATGTGGTTGCAGAAGCAGGCGCCAGAGCACTTTCAAGGCCGGTCCGGGTAGAGCTGTTTCTGTTTGGGGCATTTGGCGGGATTGTAGCTGGGTTGGCACTCGTTTCCGTCTCCAGGATTCTCCAGGTTAATATTAGAGAAGCTCGGCTGGGGATGGGAGTGCCTTGTGATGGTTTTGGAGTCTCGGGACGGTGGCGATAGCTTCGAAGCCAGCACGCCGCACGTCGCCGGCAGGCGTCTTCGTGAACTTCTCGGTCTATGTCCAAGCTGGATGTGGCATGACCAATCTCCACACGAGTTTGCATGGAGGGGTTTCTCGTAGATTGTGAAGTTCTTGGTGCTCGCAGCGATCCCACTGCTTTGCAATGGGCCCACGAAGAAGGGACATGCCCTCAAACCTATAAGCAATGCAAAGCCGCTGTCGTAGTATCCTAGTGTCAATTGGCAACACTGGTCTGGATTACGCCGGTTGCAGTTGGGTCGAAAGAGAGCTTCTTAATGGTGAGGCCCAGACGCATGTCAACCAGCTGTGATCTCAGTTGCTGGAGCATTACCAGTCAAGGCCTTTGATGCACAATCGGAAAATTTCACTGCGACTGCCGCACAGCTCAATATTCCGAAGGTTCCAAGACCTGATCGACAGCAAGCTGGAGAAGAGGCGGGGTTGCACGATGCATAAATCACTGCTCTCGGCACTTTCCGGAGCCATGCGCCAATCGAGTCTGCAGGGTCTAGGCTAAAGCGTAAGTACGATGGGTGATTCCGAGGCGTCGTGGAGTCTACGGCCCACCGGCCGGCAAAAAGATGGTCCTCTTCGTGGATGATCTGTGTCTTTGGCATGTTTAGCGGGTCAATCCTTGTAGGAGTGGTGGAGTAAATGGATTGTGGGCGAGAAGCCACAGATTTGGTCGTCGTGTGTGGCTGCCTTGAGACGTCGAGCTCGTTACTGTCATGAGTTCAGATTGGAATCGAGGGATCGCAACTTGATCTGCAGGAGCCCGCCTACGCAAGCTATTCCAGCTACCCTTGAACGAGACAATAGAAAGCTCAAAGCCCAGAGGCTTGCATCCATCCGAAGTGCAGGAACATGCCTCAGAAAGAGTACTATGGCGCACAACCGCCCATCGAACTGCCGCAGGCTTAGTTTTAACTTTGAATTTGGTTGCAGAAGCACAGGCGCCATGTATGGCAATGATGCATCCTTTGGTGACTGACTCGCACACAGAAGTACGCAGCAGTGAGGCTTCGGCAGTGGCATGACCACGGCGGGTGGTACAACAGGACCCCGATGAGTCAGTTCCCTGCATCCACGAAGCCGCGCCCTAAACCAGCTTATGCCCAAGTTGTGACGAGGACAGGAGTAAAGGCGAAGGCAAACTCTGGAAGCGTCACTCAGCAAGCTCATTGCTTACAGGAAAGAGCTCAAGAAGTTCGACATTACCGACATGGTGCGGGACTGACTGCTTGGAGCATGGTTGGACGGATGTTAGACCAGCTACCCTGCACTGCTGCAGCGGCTGCACCTCTCATGCCTTACCCTCGAATGCTTTGAACCGTGCGCTGTGCACTACATCATCATAAAAGTTTCCTAGCATCATGAGACACCTATGACTAAGATCATGGCATCTGCTATGGGGCCTCCCGGCGGTGGTCGCTGCTTGGCCAGATTTGGGGATAGTGTAATCACAGGCTGTCTCTGCCGGTTGATGAGGGTTGGGGTTGGGGATTTGAGGCGAGCTCTTCAGACTAGATGCTCGCTGCCCGGGTTAGGATCGACATGAGGTTGCTTGGAGTTTGGAGGTCGACATCAGGATTTCCGTCACTGATTGAAATCCGTGCAGTCGCGGTTTGGGGCAGAGTAGCCTGGAATCTTGTAATCTCGTAGCACGAGTTTACTTTCATGGTCGTAGGCGAACTAGAAGCCTCTCCGAGCCTTGACGTGTCATGATGGATCGGCAGCAGATGCACGATTTCCTGGTACTGTAAGCCCATTCCCTTGCGCATACGGAGCGGCTACATGGGGGACAGGAACATGTGGTGACTTCTTCTGCACACCAAACATGTGGCATCGCTTTATGAAAAATTCCGCGTGGTTACATGGTACGAAACTGTTTTGTTGCGACTTCTTCTTTTTAAGGTAATGCGGTTGCACGGGGGCAATGGTGGCACACCGTTTGTTTATGACTTCGGTGTTTATCTGTAGGCTAGTCTCCGGAGCGACACACACTTCTCGAAGACGTCAAGGGCCCTGGTCCATGCTGACTTCACTCAACTTCCTTTCCCCTGCACTCCATCCGAGGCACATTCATCACCGAGCGCCTGGGGCCTCAGAGCAACCGACCTGTGGAGTCCATTCGGATGTTGCCTCTCTCAGTCAGTCGTACATTGCAAGCCACTGCCCCAAAATCGAGTACCGTTGCCTCTACGCCTCTGCGCTGTCAAGGAGTACTGCGCAATTCAATCAGCCAAGGTCTGAAACGCCATTACAATGTCGGGATCTGAGTTTGTCCTCCCGATTGGACTGTTGCTGAGTGGCTGCACTAGGACTGAGGGGTTAGGTGTTCGCTCGGCTATGTCTTACCGTGTCTAACACTTCCCAGACATCCTTCCCTTGTACCCCGACCGGAACTCCTCGGATCGATTCAGGTACTGGCTTACTCGGACCTCCAGGCCAGAGCGTTTCGAGATTTTGTTCTTTGGTGATACTTTCTTTGGGATAATCAGATATGGGGGCCTGAGCCCAGAATCCGCATAGTAGGCTCGTGCCTAGCACCTCAAAATAAGCCCTGATGTCGAAGAAGCCGCCATACTGCCAAAGAAACTGTTGCTAGACTTGTAATTTGATAGCCAGGTCAGTATCAGTGTGAGTGCTACTGCTAGTGATAGAGTAGCTCTGGAGGCCCCGATCAACCCTGCCACCTTCAACCCTCTAAAGGACTGCCGGGTGTGACCGTGGAGATTTCTGGCAGGACGAATCCATCTCCCAGATCTTTCGGACAATTGCCAGCTACTTCTTTGCGGGGCCTGACCCTCGGAAGTGATGAATGTTCAGGGTTTAGGGTTTAGCTTGGTTTACACAGACTAAGAGAAGGGACACCAGGGCACTTCTCTTCACTTGAGGGTACATTGCTTGCGCGAGTTATGTTTGCGGGAACTTCGTGGGCATCGCACTTGGTGGCCCGGTCTAGGGGATCAGTCAGAAAAGCCGAACTCTGCGTCTGGGGTCTTTAGTCCGAGGACAACCGTCTGACTCCGGGTTGTGAAACAGATCGCAGCCCAAATGTCGAGCATGATCGACGATGTCAGCCAACACGAAGCCAAGCAGGTTCGATGAGTCAATCCAAGCAACTATCCCTTGCATGTCGCAGCCTCAGACAGGGCCAAGCATGTTGTGTATTTACAGTGCGAAAACAATATGTACATACCATCACCCTCCTTCCCGTTTTTACAGGACCCCTTGATGTGAAATAGTAGGGTGCACCCGGAGCCTGGCTTTGGTTGGGGGTCGCTTAATTGCAGACCAAAAAATTAATGACATAACCTGTATCGCCTGTCTCCCTCTCTGTCTCTCTCTCTCTCTCTCTCGCTCTGTCTCTGACTGCCGGGTATGTGGTCTGCCAAATGAAGGGCCTAGAATGAAGCAAGAAATGGGGAAGGAGAGCGAAAATTAATGACCATAAACTCACTTGTATCTTCGCCCAATAATCTCACTTGTATTTTCGCCGAATTTGATTGCAATGAGGGGGGCAGACGGGGGCAGGGGCTTGCATAAAAGAGGGAGACGATTGTATGGCAATGGACATTGTCGCGGTCTATGTATAAATGATGACGATGAATGAATGTATGTATGTTCATTTTTATCGATGTGCCTCCGCATCGATGGGTCGCTGTAAATTTGTATGTATGTAATTGTATGTATGTATGTAGGTAGGTAGGTAGGTAGGTAGGTAGGTAGGTAGGTTGGCAGGCGTATATATATATATATACATGTATATAATATATATATATAATATATATACACATGTATATATATATATATGTATGTATGTGTGTATATATATATACATACATATATATATACACACATATACATATACGTACCTGGGTATGCACAAATGAATTAACAGTATAATCGTTGTTATGTATTTACATGTGTAGGGTCGAGACGATTAAAGTTCGAAAGGGACACCTGCCAAGGCTTCTCGTCATTCCCCCACCAATGCATCAGCAATTGCAATCCCTTGACCGGCAGGGCTTGCCTTGCCCCAACCCCGAATCCCCAGAACCAATTTTACCAAGCCCGTTGCTGCCGTTGCTTTAAGGATCATGAGCACGGTGAAGATCTTCAAGCAAGCGCTGCAGGATTGGAGCGCACGCTTTCTCTCCCCTTGGTCCTCCCTGGGCGAAAAACCAGAAGAATCAGCCACAGCAGCAAACCAATCCATGCAGCCTGTGGCACGTGAAGGGGTCTTTGCAGTAGCAGATTTGTGAGAGTTCTACTTGCCACAGCAATTCCAATGACTCTGCCCAGTACTCGCCATGTTCATTTGCACGCAACCTCGAACTTCAATGCAAGCCGGTCGCATTTGCTTCAAAGCGGTTCTACGAGATGGTGGCAAGATTTCCTCTGCAAAGGCTTAAACACTAGACCGGAGTTCTTGTCCTGCGGCCTTTCTCAGCTGTCATAGGCGTTTTTAGCCACCAGCCCATTTAACAGCATCATGTGCAACAGCATCACCATCGTTTGCACCATTCTGAACACCAGCCCTCACAGCGACGTCAGTAGAACTTCACGATGCTTCCTGATCACAGGGATTTGAATGACTAGAATGTTCCGATACGTTCAGTACTTTGGTTGCACAGGGATTGGAGAATCACCAGAGCATGGACTTACATAAGGTTGATCTGAGAGATTTGGAAGGATGTGCGTTTGATTACCGAGCTTGCTTCGGCTTTCTGGATGGAGCCAGGATTTGCTGCCGACCCCGGCCAAGTCGCACTACCTCTTCAACCTGCGCGACATCTGGCGCGCACGGGGTCCTGGTAAGGCCGACTACCCCGAAACGAGGGGACCTTTAATTTCACGCCTACATCCCCGAATCGTGCCATCCATTGGAATCGTCGGGAGTTTTCGGTGGAAGGTAGCCCAGCCTCCGCTGCAGGAGCAGTAGCTTAGTAGCAACTAATGCCGGGACAACACTACAGCTCAGGCATCTTTCGCCCATTGGACATGCGGTGTGGGTTGTGCGACGAAGCTTCGAGAGTTCTGCCTGGCATTCTGAGGTCTTCCTTGGGCTGTGCACTCTGAGCTCCAAGAAGGTCGCCAGCCTTCGCATCGGTCCTTGCGCAGTTGACTCTCTGACCTGAGCTCCAAATCCGAGTTCCATGAAACCTGAAACATATCTAAACACCGAGAAGCTTTGGCCCGTGCCTAAATGGACCAGCAAAATCCGGCTCATCACCAGCTCCTCTGTTCTCCTGTGGACGGCTTTTCCATGCTTTCTTCCGTTTGCGGCACAATCGAAACTAGAGCTTGCGACAAAACAAGCCATCGTGGTATTAGTCATCTTCTGAAGTTCGCAAACACAATGACTGTCAGAATGGGCATAGTGGTCGTGTTGGTCCTGAAACTCATCTTGCCACTACAGTAGCCATATAAGACAAAGGAAGTTAATGACAGCAAACATATTCGAGCTATCAAGAAATATACTCGGAACAGGAGAGAGGAGTGACAAGTGTGATGGCAATCATCGTAATTGTAGTGAAGGCACTGTTCAGACTCAGTCAGCGAAGGCGAGAATCTCGAACATCGAAGTTTAGAGCCTGCGATGGACTTTCTATAAGAGATCCGGCATCTGTCGCAGACACCTCAACGATGCTTTCGGTCATAATTACTTGCGAATCGGAACAGAGGACCTGTCCTTCCGTCCCGGTCCTGACAAGATCTCTGAGCACTGCAGCCGCACACCCCGTAAACCTTGACACAAAAGGGCCAACCTTTCAATCCGAAAACCCTCGAGCCATCCCCCCTTTGCAGGCGAACCATCGGGACATCGTGATCCGTTGCTGGTGCCACGAGATTCAGCGGGTGCCCTCCTAGAGTCAAAGAGCGATTTAGGTCTAGTGTCGATATGCTGGCTGGTAGCAAAAATCATGTCGGAGCCCACCCTGTTTAAGACGCTGTGCTTGTTCATCAATTGTTCAGCCATGTGTTGTTCCTTTCTGGCTGTGCATGTGTATGGTTCCATGTGTGTGTGTATATATATATGCATACATACATATACATACATATACATACATATACATACATATACATACATACATATACATATACATATACATATACATATACATATACATATACATGCAGACTTATCAAAAGTGAATGCTATTCATCTACATATAGGTATAGTTATATGTAATATCAGATGTGTATATACACAGTATGTGTTGTTCGTGTGTTTATGTGTTTGTTTACAGATCCAGATAGACTGCTACAGGTGCATCACGAACTGCTACCACTGATTAGCATTTATACTTCGATACAAATGCCGATGCAGGTCTATAGTAGTATTGCTTCGGACAGAGGTACAGTTGCAGATGTAGACGCCGTTTGTGCGTTAGCAGCTGTGTAACCGCATACTACTTGGTGCTGGCTGCATATGGAAAAGACTTCTTACTGTGACACATCTGTGTGTAAACACAGGAGCACCGATCCATATGCGTGTGTATATATATATATATCTTTAGATACAAATACATATACATATATGATATATATATATAGAGAGAGAGAGAGAGGCATTTCTGCAGCAAACAAGATAAACTGGAAACGGAAACACCTGAAGACGTAATAGCTGTCGATATTGCACGTTTTAGCCACACAGATGTCATGTCGTTAGGGTCACCGGAATAGTGGGGCAGGGTGTATTGGGCTGAAGAGGTTTCGTGAGATGGCCCAGCCACTCGGAAACACCCGCTCAAGCTCTAGGATGTGCTTAAACAGCGTGGTCGTTCGGGCCAGGTCTTCGGGGACCGCCTGACAGACGAACAAGATGCGGGTTGGATGCAGAAGCAGATCACAAGCCTCTCGATGGTGTTACATTTTTGCATAGGCCCACTTTCCAACCCCATGTTAACAAGATTCGTGCCCATGGCGTCTGGAGCCGTCTGTGTTTGGAAGTGCGTCTTTCACAGTCCCACGCTCCTCCAACTACCTAGGGACCCTACCAGTGGAAACCTCCAATCCCGATCGGTCGGAACTGTTTTACGGAATAAAGGTCCCGGCTTGGTTGTTTGGTGACCGATAAGCGACCATCCGTCACTGTGACCTGTGCTGCGACTATCGTTCCCAAGGCTGAGGGGCCACCATGCCTGGGAACCCTGCAATCGGTCTGGATGTGATCCCAGGTTGTCTCGAAGAGGATTTTCAGGTCCAGGTTGAGTCTGGGCCTCGGCATGTGTGCCTTCGTGCAAGCTCTGTCTGTCCGTCTATCTACCCAGCTAGCTAGCTATCTATCTTATCTATCTATCCGTCTATCTATATACATATTCCATAGGTATACATATTTATTTTTTATTTATTTATTTATATGTGTATATACATATATATATATATGTATTTATTTATTTGTTTATTGATTTGTTTCTTTATTAATTTATATGCATATATATATATATATGCATATGTATATGTATATATATATATATGTGTGTGTGTGTATGTATATATATATACATTAAAATCATTATGGATACATATGTAAATATAATATACATAATATTGATATTAATATATACATATATATGTGTGTGTATGTGTGTGTATCCGTATATAAAATATATATGTATATATATATACACACAAGTCAACCAATCAACCGATCTATCCATCTATATCCATCTATCTGTCTAGTTTGCTTGTTTCCGACACACACACAAACAAACGAGGTTTTTCTCCGATAGGAAGCCCATACACCCTACAAATGCACACTCTATTTCACGACGTGCGGACGTCTACATAGGCATTTCCACCTGCATAGGCTCCTTCATAGACGCTGGCATGCATGCAACACGAGTGGCAAAAAATGACCAGCCTCACCCAACGCAAAGACGGACATAGATTATCTGATAAGTCTTGGTGAGTCTTCGCATCGCAGCGTTCCGCAGCATAGGCGTTTTGTTGGAAATTGCCCAGAGCAATTGAGGCCAGGATTTGTTGGACGTATAGTCATACCGGAAACCCGGATCCATCGCCACAAAGTGCGCAGCTGGCGGAGGAACGTCTTCGTGCGTGAGAGGCTGCTGTTCGCCTCCTTCCTGAATCAGGATGCCATCGACCCGGTTCTGCGTGGACTGAGTGGTGCAGGAGTACTGCCAATCACAGTTTTTTTTTACAGATCCTGAGCCCGAGTCATCCCACATCCTCTTCCAAAGTCCTAACTAGGCTTTCATGCACGGTGGTTGCCTCATACAGATGTACGGAAGTGACTGTAGTTGTTATTGACCCCTTGGCCACAGCGCAGACCTTCACAGTATCGTACAAGGTAAATAGTAACATGAGAGGGGCCAACAGCTGCACTGCGCTGGAAGCAAGGCTGACCAGCGGTACTATGAGGAAGTCACCAACATTCAGGCTGGGCAGGGTGTAGGCCAAGGGTGGCAGAAGGTCAGCAGTCCGGCAGGACTGAGACGTGCATAGTCTGCAGGTGATAGTTGTGGATGTAGATGACGCAGCCTGACCATGCATGAAAGGCCATGAAAGAGTGCATTGAAGAGTACCTGGAGGAATACAACAGCGTCAGGCTCTTACGATGTCTCGCGCTCATGGACTGAAACTGTGCCTTTGCACCATGCCGGTCAAGTCAAATCTGTGCATAGAGATTGCTGCAACCAAAACCTAGTCTAGTCCATAATCCATGAACCTTGTTGTGTGTAATTACTTCCAAACCCCTGGTTCGTAAGCCCTGAGCCTCTTTGATACATGGGACCTCAGGTTAGCAGCTTGCAGATGCCATTGGTGATGTTCTTGGACGCTTGCGAGCACTGCGCTCGCATATGCGCATGCCCTACTTCGATGCTTGCCCCGGCGACTCAGACACGTACACAAACACAAACACAAACACACACACACACACAGAGACAGAGAGACACACAACCACGAACACGTCCACGGATAGCTACATACATGTGTTCATGCATAGGTCTGTGTATGTGTACGTGCATGTGTATATAGAACGTGTATGTGTATATATATATATACACGTACATGTGTACATACATACATGCATACATACATGCAAACATACGTACATACGTACATACACATGACATAAACAAATAGAGAGGCATACACATGCATAATATGTATGCATGCATGCATGTATTAGTTTGATTAGTTTGACTCCCAGCCGTTCGGAGGCCCCGCTCCACTGACTAAAACTACTTCTCGCGCAATGCTGTCATTTTGCCCTTGCCATGTCCTGGCTTCAAATTCCATTACAAGCCCTTCGGCTTGAAGCTTTCTGTCCGCAAAGACTTTGTCCAAAGCTTGCCTCGGCAACGGACTAATTTAATCACACCCATGGTTTATAAACCCATGGTGCGGGCAGCAAGTAACATGGAGCTACCTGGTAAAGCAAAGGCGCAGAACCCTTCAGAAACTCTCCTTGAGGCTGAAGGGTTCCATGATCAGCGTTCTGTCGGATGTACAAGATACACTGTTCACAGCAGAGGACCAAGGACACATGCATGTTCTGAGTTCTCAGTCTGTCAATGATATGACCATGCGCTGTGCTGTCGTGTGAGTAGAGGCAGTGAGCCTGAGGGTAGACATGAAAACAATGACAGGAAAATGTGGGAGTCAGAAGACGAGATCGACTGTAATTTACTAGTATGAGGCAAAGAAGGTTAATCACTCGGGCTTTGGAGGGTATGGTGGGGCGGCGACCGCATATGTATGATATGTATGTACGTATATTGAATGGAACCCCCCCCCCCCTGTTTCCAGCTTTGAGGTTGCAGCCTGCTCGCAGGGCTCGGCCTTGGGAACTATGCGTGTTGCATTAGCAGCTTTCCAGGTCGTGTGCTGAGTCAGCCGAGTGGCAACGTCCTCCTCCTTGGGGCCAGCAGCCTAGATGTAGGGGTTTGGGTCATGCTGTTGCAGACAGTCTGAGGTGTCTTACGTGTAGGGGAAGTTCGTAAAGAAGAAGTCGGATACGGGCTACCAAAGACAGGGATTCAAGGGATGCGGGGACTAATCAGAGCTTCAGGACTTTAAGTTTAGGGCATCAGAGTGGACTTGTGCGCGTGGAGGAGAGGCATAGTCTCCTTGTTTCAGATCTGCGCAGTTTGAGGGCAGCTCTCGAGAGTTTCCGCACTTAGGTTGTCTTAGCTGTTTGCTTTGGGCCCTGAGTCTAGAACATATAGTGCAAGCTTCAGGAAGGCCATTACGAGAGCTCCTCCCAAAGACACGGACTTTGGAGCCGACGTGCGCATGTCAAAGGATCAGCATGCAGAGAGAGAGAGAGAGAGAGAGTGTGTGTGTGTGTGTGTGTAATTACATGTGCATGCCTGTGTGCGAGCGAGGGTGTGCGGGCACACGTGCATATGTTTCACGACTTCCCGAGGTGCTGGCGCATGCTTCGATCCATCTAGTTGGTACATACGGGCATTCATACGTGCGCATGTCAAAGCTGTGTGTGTCTGCATACTCCGCACAAAAAAAGGGGAAGGGCCATGCTAGGGAGCCAACTGCTCGCGGTCGCTTCAAGTTTTCGTGGTAGCAATTGAGAGCTGCTTTACCCCTGGAATTCATCATGAATCAGCAAGCCTTCGAGCCTTGAACTTCCTGAACTTTCAAAACGAGAAAGACACTGCCTCCCCTGATGCATCCCAGCGAAGTCACAGACATGACAATCCAAAGGGAAGACCGTATTCCCGTGACCCCACACCCCCATGTCGCTAGCCGCCCCGAAGCTCCTCGATCACTTGGCCGGGACAGGTTGGTGGAAGCGGGCGCCAAAGCTTGACTCGGCTGTCCACCTACATGAACGAAGCCTGCTGAAAAGCATAGACTTCAGGGTTTCCATTCAAACTAAGCGCGACTAACTGAGCGTATCATGTAACAGCACCGCCGCGGAATTCTTGTGCTGTTGCCAAAGACCCCGTGAGAAGAAAGCGTTTGCTTTTGCTGTTGGAACGTCATTGGTCGTGCCTTCGTTATAGCGTCCTTGGCTTCTTCACTCCGGTGCACAGCGTTGATCCCGAAAAGGCTGCATTGTAGACGTGCGCGCGCGCGGGGCAAATCGTTAGTTTAGTTCAACTGTGTTGCCGCTCGGATACTGCCACGAGAAGTCATCCAGACAAATCGGACAACTCTCTATACTCGGTGGTTTGTCTAACTATTGCGTCCTGAAATCGACAGTGCTCCCATTCAGCCTTTGATATCCTTTGAGTATATGTGTGAATGTTGCATATACTTATACTTATATATACATGACAGATAGTCTGTACTGCTCAGTGTATTCTGGTGCTTTTCGAAGACTTACGTAAAACTTAAAACTGTCTTCGTCCCCAGACTTGTTGCCGAGGAGTGTGAGTGCTTCCAGATCGAGGTGGCCAAAGGTGGGACGATTGATGGTCTGTCAAGCATGAAGCCATGGCCCCCATGAGTACATCAACAAGTCTCTTTCGCCTCCACTTCCGAGCGAGGTGGCGCCTCAGAGTTTCAGAGTTGGAGAGAGCGGACTTGATTCGACAGGCTATGGCATGTCTGAGTTCAGGGATGCGACCCGGATGCAATTTACTCTGCAGACATCTTTGTCACCGTTGGGTACATCACGCAGCCAATGTTCCGAGAATGAGCTCAGGACATCAAGAAGTGCCTCATGAAGTGTGGGGTGGAGGACAAAGTGCAGGTCTTCCTCTTTTGTCGCTTGCCACAACAACCACATGCATGGCGTCGTCTGTGCGTCACGGTATCGTTTGCATCGGTGACCGGTCAAATGGTCTTCTCCCAGCCCCCGAGTTTCGAACCTCAGAGAAAGCCGACGGCTTGTCCTGCACGTGCTCGCAACGGCAACACGTCCCAGCATCGTCACTCCTGTAGACATCCCCGATCCCTGCAGGTTAAAGTTTACAGCCCAAAAACTTCGCGGGCGCAGCTCATGCTCCAAGGCGACACACAGATCGTAAAGGAAGATTTCGTCGAGGCCATCAACAACGTGCTGAACAGTGGCCACCTCAGAGAAACACCCAGGGGCCAATGTAAGCCGCCGAAGCCTGAGCTGATGCTCAGGTGGCGATGTGCCGAACCTCTATGCCAATGAGGTGGGACCGCCAAGCCGACTACTCTAGTGACTGGCTGACTGTCCTATATGTTTTTATTTACATGCAGATAGATTCAGGTAGATGTATAAATACTTTATCTGTGTAGCTATGTGTGTTTGTATGTATATATGAACCTATGTAGATATCTATGTCTGTCTGTCTGCCTGTCTGTATGTACGTATGTATATGTGTGTGTGTGTGTCTCAATGTTTTCGGTATGTCTGTATGTATCTATGCCTCGCCATCCAGCTAACTACCAGCTAGGGTAAGTAAGTAGGCAGGCAGGTAGGTAGACACAGGTAGGTGTCTGTGTGCTTTTCTTTTCTGTATGACATGTCTGTTTGTTGTCGATAGACGTTTCTGCGGTTAGAGCACAGCTGTATGATCGAAAGATGTTGAACCGGAACAGGTACTGCATGATCCCAGAAGCCTAAACCATACTTCCCCAATCCGTGGATCGAAGGACATGGAGTCCATCTCCGGTGCTTGTCGCCAACTATGCTGCACCCTCAGCTGCTACTGTGTGTCCGATTGAGGGTTAAGGGTTCTTGTTTGCTCGGCCTTTGTTACCCGCCCTATCTCTGTCGCTCCGCTCGCTCCCATCTCTCTTTTCTATCGCTCTCCGTCTGCATTCGCACTTTCTCTTCTGTCTGCCGTTTGCAAGTGGCGCATGGGCCATCTAGTGCACATGTGTTGATCCATGCAAGTGCATGCCGCAGTTGGTGACTGCACCACGAGATTGACAGAGGTCCGTAAGCACAAGTTCCGGCAGGTCAGAATATGGGAATGCAGCCGAACAAAGCCAACCTCTTCAGTGCCTACCTCTCGAGGGCCCGCCCGATCTTGCACCGAGTGCGGCTGTGAGATGGTCTACAGAGCTCGGGATGCTTCGGCCATGCTTCGGTGCTTGATGCTTTGGGAGTTGAAGCTTGAAGTTGCAGGTCAAGAAGAACGTTCATGTCGTCTTGGCGTTCTCACCAGTGGGTGACGGCTTCCGCAGCCGTGGCTCGGCTGAAGTTCGGAGCCTGACGTTTGCAGCACCGGTCCTCATTTCCCCTGGGAGCAGATATTCATTACTTTCTGCAGTCGTCGTGCGACTTTCCGAGTTCTTCCTGTCGACGTCTCAATTCCAAGATGATCTCTGGCCTTCAGGTTTGCGGATGTTCCCCTCGCTGGTCAATTGCGACGACCTCAGCTGTATATCGGTGTTTCTAGGCCCTAGGCCCTTCGAGCACAGATCAGACGGGAGCTTCAATAAACTAGACACATGACACTTCCACCACACAACTAAATGCAATGCATGCAAGTTCAAATCTCCCAAGTCCCCGTTGAAGTTTTTGAGATGCTGTGGTTTCTGAGCGGGGTTTCTTATAGGCATGAGGACCTTGGAATTGAGGGCTGGTTGGGGGCACCGTCGGCTTTCCCGTGCCTTTTGCTTCTTATCTTCTGTCTACATTGAGGATAGAACCTGAGGGCACGGACTGTAGTGCCTTCGGATGTCGGCTTTTTCTGTTCAGTGTGTACCAGATGGTACCTCATTCTCATTTTTTGCCCTTCAGTTGCCGTGACCTGCAGCTTTCCAATCTAGTGATGAGCAGCTGGAATTGCACAGCACATGCCGTTGTCTCATTTCTGCAGCTCGCACTCCTGCGAAGCTGTTGCAGAACCTTTGCACAGATCCCTTTCAACTTGCCAGAACGGACACATTGAAACCCACAAAGAGGGACATCGCACGGAAGATGCACCGGTGCAGCCATGCTGGAGCTTGCACTTGCAGGGTGTGGCAGGCCAGTGCCATCCCACGGGCCGTTGGAACTTGCATAGCATTTGCTGGACAAACGTGGTTCCTCCGTTTTGATCACCGCAGTTGCTGCATGAATTTGACATAAGAACTTGGCCCGTCTTTCCAGACGTGCTTACCTTGCCAATCGTTGTTGCGTTGAAGAACTCATTTATAGCGGGAGCCGAGACAGGATACAGCATAGGTTTAGCCTCAAGTGGAATAGGCAATCGGGTGCCTTAGCAGCTTAGACAATCCTCTTCCGCTGTCCACCCAGCGTCGGTTAACGGTGGTGCAAGCAATCAAGGGTATGGCTTTTCGGAGCCTTACGGCTTTGTATGTGAAGAGCTACGTATTCTTCGGGCTGTGAGCGTGCCGAGCGCATACAGTTGTCCACGCAAAGTTGTTGAAACTCGTATCCAAGCGGCACTGTGGTCAGATAGGGATGATAGGGATGATACCGAGATGTTCATGCCAATTCATGCTTCCCTGTTTGCTACGAGGCTTTCCCAAGGCTCTGAATATACAGCGACAAAAAAAGCAATCCACACAGGAACAACCAGTATTCCACGAGTCGTATCTTCCTGCCAGCAAGTGGCAGATGCAAAGTCACACAAAATGCAGGATCATCAGCATCATCAGCATCAGTATCATCAACAACATTCTTATGGTCGTGCGCAACTTGGTATCTTGATCTCGGTATTCACCAGTGCCATCATCATCATCATCATAGTCATCACCGTCATCATCATCATCATCGTTCGTCGCCGTAGTCGTCTTCCTGATAATCGTCGCTGTCATTCTTCAGTTTAATTGCTGCACCAGAATCTTCTATATACGCTCAGTATTCATCTTCATCGTCAACCAAGATGCCCTCACCACCATCGTGTCACTGGCTGCCGCAAGTAGTCTCTCGGAGGCGCCTGCTTGAATGGCTCTGTTGTGGAGAACTCCTGGCACTACGCGCGGCGGGCCGCATCGTGGAGATTCATCAAGCGCCTTGTTTGGGGGTTTAGGCTCTGGCTTTTCTCTTCATCTCGTATGTAATCGTATTCGATGATTTATTGTTTTCTTCATGCTGCCTTTGATATGTCGCGGGAACTCTATTGGTTTCAGGCCTTCTGGAGGATCGTGGACTCGTGCCTTTACTTTGTAAAGCTCCGGCTTGACGAGAGGCCGAAATTCCTGATTACAACCGATCAGCTCGCTGAAGCTCGAAGAACTGAAAAATGAAAACTCGTGCGCTTATTGGCCTTTGCTCCAGGAGGTGCTGCAAGCTGCCTCATGGTCCACAAACCACCGGCGCTGGCTCGGTGCGCTAAAGGCTGACGTAGTCATGCTAATGACTCATGAGATAGGAGTGGAGCGTGAATGGCATGCTCGAAATCACGAGGCATGAGAAGGCTGCTAGTTTTTTTCCGTCAGTTGGCCAGTGGCGCATGTACCAGTCGTTGCAACCTGTTAGAGCACCAGCCGGAGCTGTCCGGGGCTGCATCCACGTCAGTGCGACTTATTGTTTTACACGTTTACAAGTAGTGGCAGCAGCAGCAGCAGGAGGAGGAGGAAGTAGTAGTAGTAGTAGTAGTAGTAGTAGTAGGAGTAGGAGTAGGAGTAGGAGTAGGAGTAGGAGTAGGAGAAGGGGTAGGGGTAGGAGTAGTAGTAGTAGTAG